CAACGCACCAAGTTGGGGTGAACCTGTCATTGTTTGACCCTTTATCCACTCGTATCAATTTTAACGGTTTCGAATGAATAGAATTTTTCACATGGTTCGACGGAGGGTCAAACGACGATGGGTTCCCCCCAAACTTGGTGTGTTGAGATTTTAGAATATGTAGATCGAGTTTAACGGAGCGGATTATCCACAATGTAGCTCAATCATGTGATTTTAGGTCGCGTCCTTAGATGATTATCTAAGGCGTCACCTTAGGAACATGTAAACAAAAGCAATAAGAGTTGATTAAAAGCATCATGTTAAGGAATAAAAAGTTAATAAATATTATAGCTTAAAAATTATCACCACTATATAAATTAAAGTAACTGCATATAATTTTACTAATAAGTTGGAGCAGCAAAAGTACATTAGTAACATTAATTGATAGATGTTTAAATCCATAAAAATAATAAAATACTATAATATAATAGCTTAGTATTAATTGATTATAATTTAGAAGCATTAATTTTTTATGTTAATAGTATTTATAGGGTAAAAGAATACAATGAATTACATATAGAGAAACTACCAGAATGTTCAAAGATACCCTTCAAAAAAATTAAGCTATTTCCATTACAAATGAAAAAATGATGAAAATAAATCTAAATTTAGAAAGCATCCATGAATCACTTGAATTAGCATTAAAATAAAGCATATCCATTAAAGAAGCACCAACTGAGTTACATTAAAAAATAATGCAATAACTTTATCTCAATCAAAGAAGAATTCTCCATGGAAGATATAAGAAAAATTAATAAGTACTCATAAATTGCATACTTTATTCTTCAAATGCTAAAGAAATTAAATATTAATATTATAATCTAAGGCAAATTGGTAATGAAAAATACATGTATTTAGTTTAGATCTTTGTGAAAAATCATAGGGATAGAACAAAGGTAATATTATTGACATAACATAAACTCTTATTGGATGCACATTTGAAAAATTTATTGTAAAGGAAAAAAAGGTAGCTTCTAATTTTATTCAAGTAATAAATTAAGAACACAAAATAATTTTATATATATGAAATTAACATTTATTTTCATTGAAATAGAAAAAAAAATCAAAGTTTATATTTTAAGCAGTTTGTGTTGAACATTGAAAATATATTTGACTTCTTTGTGAAGTTAAACGAGAAGATAAAAGATTAATGAGCCCGGGAAAAATAACAGCATAAAAAATACAACTCTAATCTGATGTCATAATCGATGTAGATGATGAATACACTACTCTAAAATTACTGGGGAAAAAGATAAAGAAGAAGAAGAATTGATCTTAGTTCAATAAAAAAAAATAAAACATAAGGAATAAAAGACAATATTTTTTGAATATTTTATAGAATAGTTTAATTATTTTGAGTGAAATTAGAAATCTTTAGATGGGAGTTTCATGAACTTTTTTTGGTATTTTTATATACTTATGTGGATGCTTTTATCATATAAAAGTATACTAGAGTTAACATTAATCTTTAATTTATAATTTTTTATTTATGTGGATGCTTTTATCATATAAAAGTATACTAGAGTTAACATTAATCTTTAATTTATAATTTTTTATGAAGTCTATCAATGATTTCATATAAAAGTATACTAGAGTTAACATTAATCTTTAATTTATAATTTTTTATGAAGTCTATCAATGATTAGGAACAAATTTCATATTCTCTTTTGTATCGTTTTAGCATACTTTTAATCAATCATTTTGTCTTATTGGTTTTAAAATATTCACATTTCTTGTATTACACTATTCTAATATTTTTTCACTTTTGCAACATTGTACTTTCTCAAGTAAAACGTGGTTTCATGTTGGTCCAAATAATATGAAAATTTAAATTAGCTTTAAATTATGTGTTTTCTGTCAATTCAAATATCAATATAAAATTTTAAATTGGGTGTAGTCCATTTAAATAAATATCAAAGAAAATAAATAATTGCGATATAAGAGTTTAGAGATAAAAGTGAGCACAAATTATTAAAGTGGAACTGAGGAACAAATTTAGTTAGAAATAAGCCAAAAATACTTAATTTTGGTATTTAACTATGTGTATTGCACGTATATAAAACCTATTATACAAAATATATGAAGATGTAAAAGTCCTTGCACGTCTTCTCTCTCGTTCACTTTGTCGTAGGAGCTATTTTCTCTCTCTTCACTTTCTAGTTTGTTTTTATATTGTTTTTTCTCATTGCTCTACTCTACATCACCTTATCTTCCCTTCTAAAAATCACCTATCGAATAGAATTTTTAATTTTATTTCCAACCCATCCTTACCTTCCCTCCTACCAAACCAAGCCTTAATTTGAAGACTAATTTGAAAAAACCAAGCAGCACGGGGAGACTCAAGAGCTATTTTAATGAATCGAGGAACTAATTCTGAAATAACTAAAGATAACTCTCGGTATTACCTTGAAGGTTGAGTGACACATCCAAACTTTTAGGGTTATTTCAAAATGGGTGAAAAATGTCTTAGGGGTTTTATGAAATGTCCATGATCACGCTCATATCTGACATTTCCTCAAGCCTGAAAAAGAAAAAAATAAACAGTTAAGACCATACAAGATTGGTAATCACTAATCAACCTGAATAGATATTTGATAAATAGTATAGTCAACTATTTTCGTTAAAAAATGCATTTCTATAAACCAAAAAACACTGAAGAGTTAAATTTTTATATTTTATCTTTTTGTTCTTTTATTCAACGCAGTTGCATATTTACACGGGCCAAAATCTTACATCTATTCTCATGCCAATTGCCGAAAACAGGACTCAAAGCACATCCGAAGCATCGATTAACATGGAAATTGCACTAAATTATCATGCGCTGCAAACAAAAGTAACTTGTAGATTATGTTTATACATACAACCACGTACGAGTCAAGTATCTATGCAAATTTTTAAACTCTACGTACACTGTATATTCAAAAGGACAGTACCTCAATAAGGCTTACACATCTCATCTCATAAGCTTGTCACCGGGGAAGTTAAATAAAAAATAAAGCAATGTAGAACTTGAGAACAGAAAAAAAGACAGTTATCCACCAAGATATCTGAAAGGAAAGAAATGGATACTTCACTTGCGCGAAAAACGCTTAGACTGCAGTATCTATCACCACTACTATCCCAAAAAGAAGCTCAGATTTTAGGTTAATGTCCAGTGTCCAGCTCACTTGTTTTGAGCACGAGTTGATTGATTCCCACTTCGAATGCTACTTAGAGGTAACTCGCTCACAAACGGAGGCTCCTTGAATGAAAACTTCAACATCCATGGCATGCCTGTTTTCACTATTAGTAACAGGTTGATCTTTAGATGAAATTGTTGCAGGTTGAGATTCAATGGGGAAATTCTCCATGGATGGCGAGCAATTTTGTGTCACTGGATCTTGTTCATGCTCAGTGGATATAACTGAAATTTATGGTGAAGATTCATAAGACTGGAACATATTGAATATGTACAAGTAAGGTCAAATCACAACCTCTCCATAATCTGAGTTTGATAGAGCAGATTAATGCGTCTCTGTCGAGTGAATAAATTTATTGTTCCATAATATTATTGTCTGTATCAGCATACAGGGTTAGAAAGAACGCTTGCATCTCACAGCATAACGCATTGAAAGTGATATAATTTGAGAGTCTCCCATGAAATTAGAAGCATTAGTTGAATGCATAGAGTCCAGAAGTGCATATACTTTCGGCTTTTAACAAATACATCCTTAAGAATGTCTTTTTTTAACATGTCTATTTCTCAAGACCTGTTGTGCATGTAATCCAAGCCAAACCAAACAAGAAAAAAATATTTATAAGGAGGAATTTGGTTTAAGCCCCTCAATTGACTCTGATCAGAAGCCTTTTGACCCAATTACTTCTTGAATAAAACCCATTAGATCCAGATTTATTTTTTACTTTTAACAACCCTCCCTCTCTACCTCTTAAAGGGTAGTTTTTATAAATTTTCCATACCCTTCAATTCTATAATGTTAGGTTTATAATACAACATGCCATACAATGACCATTTATGTTTTTTTCCCTAAAAGTAACATATTGAACTCTAGCCTCTTGCTGAAAACTGTAGCATAGTTGAAACAAAAACATTTTTGAGTTCAGATGTAAGATAAATATAAGGTAAAGATGATCAAAACATAAGAAAGGATAATTACCTTCACTGAAAAATGGTACAGTTTCGTACTTTATTGATGTCTCCAAAGGAAGCGCTCCTAGATCCGCCTGTTGGTTTTGTGTACTGTTGTCATTTGTTCTTTCAAGCAACACGAACTTGTCCTTTTTCCAGACACATTCCAATATAAGAACCTCTCCACTGGAAGGATAGTACTCTCTATAAGTCTGCTAAAATCACATGAAATATTCAATTATTATAAGACAATTCACAATGTGAAGTCATTATGATATTACATTCGACTCTATAACAAAAAAATGGATTAGAGTGAATGCATCGCGCCAAATAAGTAAGTTTTCTTGATAGCAGACCTCAATAAATCCCTGAGTCAGCTGTACTGTATGCTTCTGCTGAGAGAGAGATGAGACTTTGTTGAATACCACAACTACATCAAGTAAAATCTGCAAAAAGTTATTGGAAGGGTCTCAGAGAACCAGGCTATATGTTGAAAGATTTTCCAGTGGGATTTTGGTTGAAACAAAATATCCTCCATGCTTATATCAGTTCATGACATGGTGCAAGTTTGATGTCAAACAGTTTATGAACACGAAAATTAAGTTATTGTAAATGAAATTTTCTGGAATGGTCTGTCATCAAACTACAAAGAAAGTGCCAGAGATTCAGAGTTAATTTTACATTGTAAAAGGAATTGATGCTATTGACAAGAAAGCACCATTAAATGACTTATTGCAAGTGTCCCAGTTGCATCTTTAAGTAGATTAATATCTAACGATGATCTGCCCAATCCTGTTTGTGTACATTTATAATATCAGTAAACCTATGTGATATTCCAGCTGCTTTCAAACTTTTACGACTTGACAAAGTTAAAAGAACCAACTTTTCCCTTCTCTTCATTTTGCAAGAGAACACACAACCATAAAACTCATCTTTGATTCCCTACTGCAGGAGACAACAATACCATAACTTTGATATTCCAATGCAGTGATTAAAGACGCTGTGGTCCATAAAATTAGGACAGATGGTTAAAAGAATACGCTACTGACCTGAAGAATAAACCCTACGAGCCATGAAGTAGAAAAAGAAATATTATAAAAGTAAGCTACAGGACAACCCAAGTTTGAACACAAAGGTAGACTCAACACAACTGATTGATAAGCCGACACAGCAACACCTTAACCGAACCTAAAACTGAACACAAAACTAGAACCCAAGCACTGAACTTCGAACCCGAAACCCAAGCACCAAACTTCGAACCCAAAACCCAAACTCTGACCTCAATCTAACTCCAATCCAAACCCAATCTCAACCTGACCAACTCAATGAACCAAACTGAACCAACCCTGGCCAAATCAAACTGAACCAAACCAAGCCAACAAGGAGCAAGTCCTAAACAATTAGTTTTTGTTAAGAGTGACGCAAAACACTTTATCATTTATATAGGTTTTTAAACAAGTAATAGGTTAAAATTTTGGAAGTGTTGGACGTGGATGCATGTCACAAGATGTATCAGGTTCCCCAATTTTTTGCTAGAGGAAGTGTCCCACGTATCATAAAAGTAAGTTATTTCTGTGTAAAATAACCAAGAACTGCAACTATGTAAATTATTCCCCACGTAGTCAGTCATTGTAGCCATCTGAATATTTGGTTTCCTATATGTAGAAAGGGTGTGAGGCTTTCTTAGTTAGACGAGTACATTATCTATATAGACAGTGGGTAATACTTACTTTGACTTAGACTGCCATCCAATCTGTTCTACGAGTCAATGTGAATCAGCAGATACATCTTGAATCTTATATTTACTTTTATAGGCATGTTCAAATTTTAAAACTTGCGAGTTAATAGTGCTGCTTAACCAAAAGTGTGGTATTTTATAGTTTTTCTTCAAAATTTAAAGCCCTTATGCACAGCCAACATACTATATACAATGCCTAAAAAGCTAATGTTATGACCATTCTCCGTAAATGTAATTACACTATAAATAGAAAGTATATGCATTGAAATCAGCTCAAGAATACTCACTTGTTGAACCAAAACTCGAAGGCGTGAAAGCAAGGCCAACGTTGTTAGTGAAAATCCCGTAAAGAATGATTTTGCAAGCAAGAAAGATATCTGACTGCAGAAGGTAAAGGATACAACCAGATATGTACTCTTTTTACTTCATGGCCACAACTCGTGACACTGCTTTCAGAACGTGTGAACAAAAAAAAAACCGAAATTTGTTGCCAATCCAGATGTGCCCATAGTATCAAGTATTTCATATTCATGATTACAGTAACATTTTTCAGAATATTATCAAGAAAACGAAATTCATGTGTAACCAGTAAATGTTCAAAGGATACATTGCTGCTTTCAGGATTGGTTCGGTCATCTACAACAAGGAAACGACCAGAAACTTAGGACTTAATAGTCAATGTTGCTAAAGAAAATGGTAAGAAAAAGCTTGATATAGCAAGAAAACATCAGCAGAAAAACTTGTGAGAATTGCTGATCATTGATCGTGCAAAAAAGACTCATAAGAGAAAAGGCTTCATGATTTCCTTTCGGTAACCTCAAATGTACATGTTTAAAAATATTTAAGAATCTTAAGAGAAAAGAAACTCCACAAACGCACAAACCACGGTAATCAACTTACATGTAATGGAGAAATTGAAGAATGGAATCAAATTATACTTGCGAAGTATTGGCGAACCTGTGATAGTAATCGTGCAATACCCAATAGTCGCTCCTGGTAGTTATGCTTTGCAATAGGATGATTTTTCTTTTGCCTGCAATAACAGTACCAATAAGTCTGAAAGGTGGAAAATAGTAAGAGTTGTACAACGAAATCTTCGTATCTGAGTAATAATAAGAGCAGTAAATTTCTTAGGCTAAATTTCAGAAAACCATATAAGACTAATTACCAGAATCAGAAAACCACACCAAAAGTAATCATCAGAATCCAAAACCCTCCCTGGATTCATTAGTTGATCATAAACCCTCGTTTACATGATTGAATCAATTTGATTCCCTCAATAAGTTAACGATGCGTCTCACTATCCTGTTGACAAAAACACCTCAACTTTCTCGTTATCTTTTCATTATTAGAATTATGTTTAAAATTTTATTTGATTTGGACTTAAACTTACAGTTTTAATTTTATCTCATTTTTTCAATCTTCTTCTCCTCTCTTTTCTCCAGCATTCTCCTTATACAAATTTATTTTCAAAATGCCTTAATAAAAACATAAAATAAAATAATTATTAAAGAACATTACTAAATCAAAGATTTTCACGAAAATCTAATCCTTCAACTTAGTCTCATCGTTAAATCTTAAAATATATAATGTGAAAATCCATAACTTAGCATAATAAATTAGAAAATGATTGTATAATCTATGTTAAAACAAAGAATTTTTTGGACTCAAAACTACTTCAAGTTATTCTTCACATTTGAGGTGTATTAATCATATTTTAGAAAATTTGTTTAACAGAATTTGTACTAATTGATTACAATTCTAGTAATAATCTGAGGAGATTCTTCAAATTCTATTCAAACTAAATAAAACTTGGAGCATAAATTTAGATAATAAAAAATAAAAAGAAAGATGAAGGTATTTCGTTAAAACTTGTAACAAGCATCAGTAACCAAGAATTTTTCAATTCTAGTGATCAGTTCATAGGGATTTTCTGAAATTTACCCAATGTTTAATAGGCATAAATAAAATAACAATGAAATAGTTCTTTAATACATCATCTGAACTAATTCAATCTCTGCAAAGAAATAAAAACTCAAGATACTGTCTAAGACTTATTATTATACATTTTTATTTTTACTTTTCTCTGCTTAGACTAAGAGCATTTTGGACTTCAAAATCTCAGATTGTCCAAATAAGAACCTTCCACCCCTTGACAAAACATGAGATGGCTTTGTGTTAGCATGTACTGTAGTTACAACTTCTAAATCATAACAATTACAACCTTATCAACAATAGTTTTCTTTAACTATACATGTTCTCGGAAACTATCGTTGCACTGCATTAGGCTTTTTTATTTTTATTTATTGGACAAAAGCACCAAATAAAAAAAAGGACACTTTGACACAGACTCATTTCAGAGAGCACTCTAAGATCACTAAATATCTAATTAAATCATTAAATAAGAAAGAAATTGGAACTTACTTCTTTGGGAGAAAAGCTCTCTGAGCTGGTTTCTTCCCATCAATAATCGGAAACAAAACGCTCAAAATCTCTTCCAATCCTGCTGCGTTCAGTAACCTCGCATCTCTTCTAACCTAAAACAAATCAAACACTTTCAACTACAAAATAATAAAAAATACATCAAAAAGTAAAAATAAAAGAATTAAAAAAAAGGAACCTTTTGAAGGGCTTGGAAGTACGGGCATCTTCGGTGCTGGTTCTTGTTCTTGTAGACGAGCCTGTCGAGGATTCCTGACTCTGTTTGTAGATGAGAGAGTAAAGATTTCAGCTTTTCGTCGAGATTCGTGCCAATGATCTCCGAGTTTGATTCCATGGCCACAGAGAAAAGCCTTGTCGTTAACGAAGAGGGATATTGCTGATATGGTAACATGTAACAGTCAGGTATGGTTATTATTAGCAGAGCTCCGAAGCTCTGCTATTATTTTGAAATTAGGCCCTTGAATCATTAAAATTGCTAATATCTTACTACTGATACTCTTGATTGTATAGATAAATTTGAAACAACTTATAAAAATTGGAGGGCTTAATATCAATTTTGTTGATTTTGAGTGGCTGATTTTGGAGCAACTTATAAAGATTGGGGGACCTAATAGCAATTTCAATAATTTGAGAGACCAATGGCCAATTTGATATTGCTAGAGCCTATATAAGTTGTTTATATAAGTTGCTATATAAGTTGCTGAAAATAGTTGTTCGGTAATCAAATATGAAAGCTACATCAAAAAAGCAATTACGGTGTTTAGCAGAACTGTGCTTAATAATCATTCTTGAAAGATAAAAGGTATGTATAGTATAAAAACCAAAAAAACAGAAGCTGCTTATAAAAGCATTCTCAGGTTGCTTCACAACCCATTAAAAACACTGTTATAAATAGCTGTAAATAGCCCCGCAATAGCGGCGCTAATAGCGTTAGCGGTCCCTTCCCGCGAAGCTATCGCCCGCTACGCTATCGCGCAATAGCGGTGACATATTACGGAATATGTCTGATCGCAAAAACGACCAATGGTGTGTCAAAACGGTAAATAGTGAGCGATTGCATTCGAAATTTGCTTTTTGACTGCTATTTAAAAACGGTTTGAGACTTATTTTTTAAAAATTAAACTCAACCCTTGACCATTGCATTCTACCGTCTCCTGTGATTTTCAGCATACTCCCACCACCTCTCATAGCGTCTGACACCTACCTTGATACTTCCTCTCATCTCCTTCACCGTGAGCTCCTCTTAGGACAGTCCTGTCACCACTAAGCTCTTCTTTTCGAAGACGACGACTTTTTGACTCCTCCAGTCATCTTCGGTATTACGTGATGGTTACATGTCTATTTCATATTTAGGATCTCTTTAAATCATCCAATATGTACTTTTAGATTTCTTAGATTTTTCTTTAATTATTCTTTTTTTAGTATTTATATATATCTAAATTAGATCACTATTTGACTTTGCGCTTTTTACCGCTATTTTGCCGTAATAGCCCGAAATAGCCTTAGCAATGCCTCACCGCTATGCGACACTATCCGCTATCGATAACCTTAATTAAAAATAGAAGCGGGTTTAATAGGCACGTCAAACTTTTTTTGCCTAACACCATAATTGGCTGCTTCTCAAAAGAATAAGTAGAAGCATCTTAAAGAAAATACCAAACTAACCCTAATTTGGAATGACACACTATTTGCATTATATCCAAAGTTTTAAAGTACATGTGTTAGGTGGACTTTGTTACAATAATGAATGATTGTTGAAAAAAATTAGATAGTTTAAACTAGAGGAGTGACAAAATTGCATTCAAATTAAAGGGTCTTCTAATTGCAGAAGTTGAAACTATGTGACATCATAAATGCAGTTGTTCCAATTGATTATAACCAAACACATCCTCATATTTTTAACAGCTTATAATAGTTCATTAAAACAACAAACTTACAATCAGATTCTCAATTTGCTCTCAACTTTGTAAGATTTCTTTAAAAATTAAAAAAATTAAAATGAAGAGAGGAACAAGGGATAAGCAACAATCAGTTTGGTCAATATGACAAACTTTTTTAAGCAAGAAGAACTAAAGTGGATTACTTTTTGCTTGGTTCAGTGTTGTCCATTTTAGACTTGCACCTACTTAGTGAAGAAAATAAACTGTTTCAATCTATAAGAAGAGGCACATATCAAGAATTGGGGAAAGAACAATGCTGATCTAGAAATCAATGATGTAAATCAATTAAAAAAAATTTAAATTGCGAATTTGTCCATACACAAAAAGAAAGGAGTGTAAGGTTTAGAAAAATAAAGTGTTCAGATCAAAATGATTTTTTTTTTTTTTTGAGTCAATCCCAACATATTCTAAAATCATATCAGATCACTGAAATTCAAACAATTTGATTGATTGTGTTTGGTGGGCTTATCTTAGTCAAAGAGGATTTTAAGTTAGTATTTTTCATATCTTATGTTTGGTAATATCAAAAAAGCTGCCTTTAAGTCTTATTTATGAAACTCAAGCTTCCCAAATTGTTTAATAGTTGGCTTACTAGTTCACCTAATTAAACTAATGTTTGACCAAGGGAACGATCATTCTACACTTGTTACTCTTTAATAAATTTCCTATTTTTCCTCTCATTTTAGCATTCTCACCAACTATAACCCTCTCTCATTTCCTTCCAAGAACTTAATCGTTTTTATTTATTTGTCCATTTTACAAGAACACAATCTAGTAGATGTATTTATATCAAGTATGTAATTTTATTATCAACTAAGGTTTAAAGAGTTTAATCATAAAAGTCAAAAGCCATTAAAAGTTCCTAAAAATAAGCATCCTAAACATCCTCTTAAATGCTCTCCTAATAATGGATTGATTCATAGATTTACATGAATCCGACCCGTTTTCATCTAAATGAAGAATCCAACCTAATTAGACCGAGGGAATCAATGGCAGAGAACAGCCAGAGCAAAAAATGAGAGGCTCTTCATGCTTCTCTCTGATCCTACCCCTAATTTTAGTCCCATTTCTCTCTCTTTATTCAGCTCTCGATCTAAGTCGCCATCTTTTTGAACCCCTCTCTAGATTTATTACGCCTTTCATTCCCAATTCAACGAAAACCCATTGTGAAATTGGGGTATGCATCTTTCCCCTATTTGGGGCTTTCAATTTCGGGGAGTTTTGATGTGATTTGATCTGGGTTTGTCTTATATTTTCTTGTTTTGTTTGATTTTTCAAAGACCTTTTAATGGGTTTTTCGTTATTGTTTGTGTGAGAATATTGAAGTCTAGAGGATTTATGGGATAGGGTTCTTCTATTGGAAATTGGATTTTGCTCCTTTTAAGGGTGGAATGTTATCTCAATTATGAACATATTCGACAATTTAGTGTTTTGGTTGGACAATCGTTTTCATGTTCAAATGTGAAAGAAACCATGGAAATGTTCATTGTTTCCTATGGTCATAGTTAAAGCTGACGTAATTGTCTTTGATTATTCTCGTTTCTATTTATCATGTAATCATGTCTTTGAACATGTTGAATTTACTGCTTACAAGAATCTAGACATGATCTGATGCTTCAAATTAGATTGGTAATATGTTAAACATACATATATTATTTAACAGACACATTACATACCAAATGAATTGCTGTTAATATGAAAAACAAAATAAAACCCTTCATTATTAACATCCATAGTTTATATTATTAAACCAAAGAAAGGTTCTGAAAGTTCAATTAAATCCAGTTAAGTGAAGTCCATGATGTCCTTTATATGATTGGAAGTTGTGGAAGTTGTTTGCATCGTGTGAAAGTGGTTTTTGACCTATATCAGAGAATCTTTTAGTTTTTGTGAGTTTATAGTTTGTCTACCAAACTTCTACCCCAGGAACTATGGATAAGATTTGTTGCACTAATCTTGAAGATTTGATCACATAAAGCTAGACCTAACTTGATGGATTTAACCCAATGTCACCAACACCATGCATGTAAGTTGTGAAGTCCATGAACATGCAAAGAGTAAGTCAACAAACTAATGTGTACATGATAGTTTGGCAATCAGATAACATGGAATAATTAGAAAGATTTCATCAATCAGGAGAATATTTCACCCATGTGCTGGAAAATTCACAGGTTCCTTTCTAGTATTTTGTCTGATTCTTTTATTTGAACATTATTGTACTCTTCTTGCACTTATCTGATTCACGTTGGCTCTTCTTTTGAAGGAACTTCTCATGTCCTCGTTGATAATTCACTCATTATCTAGTATTTTTCATCTTGAAGCAAGAGGCAAGTGGAAAATCACTGATGATGTAGAAACTATCCTGCATAAGGTATGTATTATTTTATTACTGTTATAGATAAGGCACACATGTTTTTTGACCTTAATTATTGGCAGGTTTTATTTTCTTCATTTTCAAAATTATATTAGGTTTGTGGCTAATTTTAATGTCCCAGGATTTCTTCAGTTTAGTTGCAAAGTTCATTTGGCTGCTTATGATCTAGTGTTAAGTTTTTCTTTCCCTTTTTTCTTTTCTTATGAGGATCGAGGGGTTATCTTCTTGCTTCTTTGTTGAATTTCTTGTAGAAATTTCCACTCAATATATGTTCATAGGTCGATGCCTTTTCTTTTACTGTTAGTTATTATGCCTTTGTGTTTTTTTATTCTCCTAATTTTTATACTAAATTTATTGTGGATTTGTGTTCAAATGAAAGCATTGAAACTTCTATCAGAGTTCACAATATTTTTCCATCTTCTTTTTCATTTGTTCTTTGTTAGTTTGAATGTTTTTTTTAAAAATCCACCTTCATTCCTCTTCCCCGTGCATAAATGTTTCAGTACCATAGTTGTAACCTAAGTTACCCCAACACTTCTTCTGAGCTCCCATCTGATGCTTTTTGTATCTATGTCATTGTCTGATACATACTCTTTGGACACTTGTTGAATACATACATACATACATACATTTATTCGGACAATCAGACATGTACTCAATTATCCCTCCTTTATATATAATGACTTCACCCTTCAAAATCGATTTCGCCGCAAGGTTGAATGAGGGAGGAGACATCTACAAAGGTGGCAGGAGTCAGCAAGGGAGTGGTCTACGAGGATGGATCTCTTTTGGTTATATGAAGTCATAGCCAGGATCCATTGCAAAGGTGTCAGAAGACATCAATGGTATCAGAGCCAAAATGTTGGCTCGAAGACTGCAACCATGTTGTCCACCAGCTCACTGGCTGATCTTTGCCGCCTTTCACTTTCTCCTTTAACCTTGTGTCAATGTTGATTTTGAAGGAAGTAGTCGATACAAGCCCCATTAGTCCAACAAGTCCAATCCACTCCATCCATGCACTACCCATGGATCTCACTTTTGTATGAGCCCTCATATTGGGGCTACGATTCCCTAATGAGAGGAAGAAACTATGCGCACCAATTCATTTGTCCTCTTCAAGGTTATCGATAGCGGATAGCGTCACGTAGCGGTGAGGCATCGCTAAGGCTATTTGGAACTATTGCGGCAAAATAATGGTCTAATTTAAATATGTATAGACATTTAAAAAATTAAATAAAAATCTAGAAAATCTGAAAATGGATATTCAATGATTTAAAGATATCCTAAGCATGAAATAGATATGTAACTATCACATAATATCAAAGAGGACTAGAGGAGTTGAAGAGTCGTCATCCTTGAGAAGATGAGTTGAGCGAGAAGAGGACTACAGTAGGAGCACACAATGAGAGGAGGTGTGAGGAGGTGTTGTGGTGATGAGAGGAGGTGCTAAGGGAAGTGCCAAACATTGTGGGAGGGGGCGGGAAGACACCGGAAGTCGCAGGAGACGAGGGGATGTTGTGGGAGGCAATGACTTTTTTTAGGGGGGCCTAGGATTTTTTTTAGAGTTGGTTCGTGAGAGGAGACTTGGGACAGGAGAAACCACGATATGTAATGACTTAAAACATCAAGTTTTGCGGGTGAGGGTCGGGTCTAATTAAAAAAAAACCTGAAACCGCTTTTAAATAGCGGTCAAAAAGCGGATTTACATGCAATCACCCGTTATTCACCGCTATGGCATGCTATTGACCGCTTTTGTGAGCGGAAAGCACACACTTTGCAATATTTCACCACTATTGGGCGATATCGTTATGTAAGGGGCCGTTAATGCTAATAGCACTGCTACTGCGACGCTATTTACCACTATGGTCCTCCTTGTCATTTCTTCTTTAGTTCTCATCTGAAATAGGGTAACATTCACCTCTTGTCTATGATCTTTCAGTGAACTCGTAATGGGCAGTCCTTTGTTAAGATGACAAAATAATGTAGTAATGTACTACATATAAGTTCTTGAATCATATAGTGATTCTAGAGGCTTTAATAGCATTAGTAAACCTAGGAGAACTCACCCCTAAAAGCTCACTATCATTGAGAGGATACTCAAATCTCTTATACTCATAAGAGACTTCTCATTTAGTCGATGTAGAGCTAAATTCACCCCAAAATACCCCCACACTTTCGTAGTGCTAGCACCGGCACAAGCTGGCTTAGCACTAGCATTGTTCTAGTCAGAAATTGCAATTCCAATGTCACCCTTTTGGCTATGCATTAGACTAGTTATGAATGAACAGAGAAACTTTCGGTGGACAATCAAAGCCACTCACGTGTAACCGGGATGATGTGTTGGCTCCAATAATGTCCTCTGGCAACTTTGCCTTTCATGATTGAAAAAACTAGCCCGGAAACAACAAGATTCACAAACCTCACGAAATAAATCTACTCATTACAAAACTGCACACCACCAAGAAGTAGAACAAAACTGTAACAAAATACCCCCTAATAGTCATCAATCAAGCTATTAAAAACGAAAGACAAAATCCATTGACATTATCAAAACTAAAAGCTAACTACAAGATGCAACTATTTGGTAAAATTTGAGCTAAAGGGGGAGAAACTCCATCCAATCCAATTTCTGGAACTTCGACGCACATAAAATTTACAACAAAATTAAAGTTATTCGGATAATTTCTCCAACGATAACTATCTATCAATCAAAAAGAGAGAATTTTTTATATAAAAGAGCGAGGGAAAGGGTTTTGGATAACGAACATTGACATAGTCGAAGGTCCAACCGTTGAAGAGCTTGACGTCAACCGCCCGCTCGCCACGCAGCTCCCCACCGCACGCCGTTGAAGATAGCAGGTCCGATGAGAGAGAGGGAGGAGAGAGATGCCCGCTGGTTCCAGGGTAAGCATTCGGTGGCGTAATTTTGTGGGAAGTAGGATAATTTTTAGGGGTTTTGGTCTTTCAACCCAAAGTTTTATTGTACCTTATTTAAAATAGAAATAATAGGGGCACACCCTCTACCATACCTCCAACCACACCATCTCTCGCTACAGTGCACCGGGCCCACATGAGATTTTATTTAATAAAATCTCATGTGGACCCGGTATACTGTAGCGAGAGAGATGGTGTGGTTGGAGGTGTGGTAATAAAATCTCATGTGGGCCCGGTGCACTGTAGCGAGAGAGATGGTATGATTGGAGGTGTGGTAGAGGGTGTGCCTCTAGTGTCCCTCTATTTAAAAACCCACCAATTTTTATGAGGGCTTATAAACCCAATGCACCCCCAAATTACTTATTTTTAAACCCAATCTGTACAATATCCTCAATTCTTATATTATATTTCCCTAATAAATACAAAATTTTAAAATTAACCTTCTTCCCCAAATAAACCTCTCTCTCCTTTTTGTCCTTCATTCGTTTCACAAAATCAAAATCTAGGAGCGGCCAACATGAATTCTCTCAGACACTCATCTCTCCCACTCCCTAAACTCTCTCTTGGCGCAAAATACCCTTCGGCTTTATCATGCGTCGAGGCGGAGGTCCGTCAGTAGCGGTAGAATGGGGGTATGTGAGAATGGGCCCGTCTCTAACATGCGCTTGGTCAAGTGACGAGCACGAATTCTTCAGAGCTATTCAAATTGGAGACTTGGAGACAGTGTCGTCTTTTCTCTCCACTGAGCCCCAAATGCTCTGGCAAATCACCATCTTCGACCGCCTCTTTGCCAAATCAAATTAGTTAATTTCCTATGCAATGTAAACGTGTGATGATGTATACAATATGTTGTTTGATCAATTATATTGACGAAATGTACACTCTTAATTTTCTAGAAAAAGTATAACTCTTTATACTAAAGTTAGCACATTATCATGAAAAAATAGTTCTTTATGCCAAAGTATAGCTCTTTATGACCATAGTATAGTTATTTACTGATAAAGTATAACTCTTTATGGCTGCTGAAAATTCTAAAAATTAGTGGAATAAATCAAATCAGTTTTTTTCTGACTAATGTAAACGTGTGATGATGTATACAATGTGTTGTTTGATCAATTATTCATGTCGACGAGAGATCCACTATTAATTTTTAGTTTTTAGAAAAGTATAGCTCTTTATACTAAAGTGTAGCACAATATTATGAAAGTATAGCTCTTTATGCTAGAATATAGCTATTTATGGCTATAGTATAGCTCTTTACTGATAAAGTATAGCTATTTTATGACCTCTGAAAATTTTGAAACTTAGTGGAATAAATCAAATTAATTTTTTTCTGAGCAATGTAAACGTGTGATGATATATACAATGTGTGTTTGATCAATTATTCATTGTTGTTTGATCAATTATTCATGTGGATAAGAGGTTCACTCTTAATTTTTCAGTTTTTAAAAAAATATAGCTCTTTATACTAAAGTGTAGCACATTATCATGAAAATATAGCTCTTTATTCAAACGTATAGCTCTTTATTATCGTAGTATAGCTCTTTATTGATAAAGTATAGTTCTTTATAGCCTCTGAAAATTCTGAAACTTAGTGGAAGAAATCAAATCAGTTTTTTTCTGAGCAATATAAACGTGTGATGATGTATACAATATGTTGTTTGATCAATTATTTATGTCGACGAGAGGTCCACTCTCAATTTTTTAGTTTTTAGAAAAATATAGCTCTTTATACCAAGGTGTAGCACCTTATCATAAAAATATAGCTCTTTATACCAAAGTATAGCGCTTTATGTCCGTAGTATAACTCTTTACTGATAAAGTATACCTCTTATGGCCTCAGAAAATTCTGAAACTTAGCGGAATAAATCAAATCAGTTTTTTCTGAGCAATGTAAACGTGTGATGATGTGTTGTTTGATCAATTATTCACGTGGACGATAGGTCCACTCAAATTTTTTTAGTTTTTAGAAAAGTATAGCTCTTTTTATACTAAAGTGTAGCACCTTGTCATTAAAATATAGCTCTTTATGCCAAAATAGAGCTCTTTATGACCGTAGTATAGGTCTTTACTGATAAAATATACCTCTTTATGGCCTCTGAAAATTCTGAAACTTAGTGGAATAAATCAAATCAGTTTTTTCTGAGTAATATAAACGTGTGATAATGTATACAACGTGTTATTTAATCAATTATTCATGTCAACAAGAGGTCTACTCTTAATTTTTAATTTTTTTTGGAAAAATTTAGCTCTTTATAGTAAAGTGTAGTACCTTATCATGAAAGTATAACTTTTATGCCAAAATATAGCTCTTTATGACAATAGTATAGCTCCTTACTGATAAAATATAGCTCTTTATGGTCTCTGAAAATTCTAAAATTTAGTGAAATAAATCAAATCATTTTTTTCTGAGCAATGTAAACGTGTGGTGATGTATACAATGTGTTGTTTAATCAATTATTCATGTCGACGAGAGGTTCACTCTCAATTTTTTGATTTTTGAAAAGTATAGCTCTTTATTTTTCACATAAACAACTATACATTTCTCATAAAAAGCTAATATTTTGTCCATAAAGAGCTACATTTTTCATTAAAGAGCTATACTTCTCATACAATAAGCTACAATATATCATAAGAGCTATAATGTATCATAAAAGGTTATAGCCCTTTCAGAACAACATATAACTCGTTATGAGTTCTATATCATTCATAAATTCCATTGGCAATTGACGACTTGCTATATAATCTTTATAAATATACAAATCGGCCAAAAAACTTCTTAAAGCATTTAGTCAAACATGTAATATGCATTCAATAAATTCTATTTAATACACATAATCATTTTAAATATTACAAATTAACTACAGATCTTTTTGAAGCATTTTATCAAGCACACAATATACAAAAAAAATTCTATACATTTTTGCATTCCAAGCCTTAAATTCAAAGTCTAATCCAATCCAACATAAAAGTAATCTTGTGACTGTAGGCAAATATGGTGAAGCTGATCTTTAAGCGAGGACCTCGTTGAATGGTTAAAGTAAAGAAAGAGGATGGGAGAGAGTTGGTCGGAGCAGTCGGTAGTCGAGGACGAGCTTGGAGTGTTTGAACTTGTTGGGTATCGATACCGGTATCGATACCCATATCGATGCCAATATCGATACTTGTATCAAAAATCTAATTTTACAGATAGCTTCGTCTCGTCGAGATAGGTGATTTTCATATATTATATGTTAAATCCCGCCTTCCGAATTATGAGATATCATTGTTTCTTTACGGCCAACCATCTTGAATATGATTTCTTTTCATATTCGATTTTTGTTTTCTCCGCCTTCTATAGGCTTCTTGGCTTGACCATGCGCTTCAATAAAAGATTGTAAAATAAGGAAGTTAGAGTCTTTTGGGTTTTTATTCATTATTTTTCTATTAACCTGTAAATTAAGATAAAAACAATTATTAGTAGTATATTTATTCATGTAAAATAGATAATGAGAGTATAAAACTATTTATACTACTTATAAAAGAGAATATCCATGTCAAAACTTTTGATTTCCTATTTCGCTCTTTCAAATTTTGATAATTGACAATTATACCATTAGTTATAATTAACCCTTAAATAATTATCTGGAACTCTTTATTAAATGCACCTCCTACTCTCCCCAAAAATATTTGGTCAAGAATATAATTATTATCAATAGCTTATAATATAATACTACGTACAAATGCTTATGTCTATATTTAGAATTTTAGATGTCAATGTTTATTTTTCGGGCTACCTTAATTGTATCTCGGGGGGTTTGCAACCCACTCTCCTCTCTAAGAAGTTGAAATGACTGTATTTGAGAGACATCAAAGTTTTAAGTCATGGAAGGACCAGAGTTATGTAGAGACAACCTAAGAGGTAGAATTAGAGAATGGTACACCTCATTCTTCATTGCTTTGTTTCTTTTGAGCATCGGCTGCTAATGAGCCCAAAATTTCAGCTCAAGTTTATAAATTTCTTCCGAAGCAGCCACACAATTGTATAACACAAAGTCCCTAAACCCAATGTTTGTTTTTCTATTTTGACTTGCTCCCCCACAACGATCAAACGAGAATGGATAAGAGGCTTGTGGGATTGACGTGATAGGGTATAGAGTGTAGGCTCTTAAAATTCAATTTAAATCAATGCATAAACTATAAACCAAATTAACTTACAAACAACCATTTTTATTTTTATATAACTTCTCTTTCATCTTTTGAGTATAAATTAGCTCACACATTTTCTTCCATTCACCATAATACTTACTAAGCCAAATTTAAACAATTACAAAAGAAAAGCTCATCTGGAACTCCAGTTGGATTAAAATAGGAAAAGCAAAGCATAAGATGTCGACTTCTTCCGAGGATCAAATTTGCTCAAGCACGTTAGCATGGTATGTTGCTCTATAATTCAATAAGAATTTTGAAAATGTGTTTCGGAACTTGATTATTATAGAAATGACTCAATTTAGCACAATTTAAGTTGCTACAATCAATTTGATGATTAGTTTTATTTTTGAATATATTGGGTTCACTCGAATTTCAAAATGTATTATAAAAAATGTGAAACGAACAAATGTATCTTAAAATCTCATTAGATTAAATACTTTTAAAATTCAACCAGCTAAACACATTTCACAAAGTAATTTGAAAACACACTATACCGAAATATCTATGATGCTAATATCATGAAGTAGGGGCATGATTAGGAATACATTAGGCTAATGGTATTACACTTTTGATGTTACGGTGAGAAATACAAAATAAACCTTCTTATCATTATTTCAAACAAAAAAAGTGAATAAATACTATAACCAACATCATATTTAAATGCATTTAAATTAAATATTATGTTTTAAAATAAAAAACCCCTCATTATTAAAAGAAGAATAGAATTGATCACACTTTATTTCATCAGGAATCCCCTTTATATAGGGTGTCAAATATAGGGTTTCATAAATACATGAAGAATTGAATTACCCTTCATCAATTACTTTGA